AATCAATGAGTCGATTGATCTTTTGTTTTTTTATCATTTAAAGACATGAAAACTCTCAAATGTTCATGATCTGACCTGAACCGGTTCCTTTAAATAAAGACTTTCAGATGTTCTGCTTTCACTCATAAACAAAGTCGTTTATGTGTTTTTATGTTTTACGTCTTCTTCAAAAAGCCTTCGACGGATCAATTCAATCACAACCAGGAGGATCAATCATTAATCATTAAATAAATCAGAGAACTGTTGTAACTTCATGCTCATGTATTAAGTTTATAGATCAGAAATCTATAACGGTCTATATATGAATATTATAATAATGTCATGAAATAACATTTTGTGTCCGTTTCCTTTAAAACGTTTGATTTTCTCATTAATGAAAATGTTCAGAAATAAACAGAAAATTATTAAAATGAAGTCACTGAATTAAACGTATGAATAATAACCACAGAATTAAATTAAGGTCGTGGAGTTATTTCTACATTTTAACTCAATGTTTTTATTTGTGTGTCTGAACGTTCTGACCTCAGAATAAATAAATAAACACATAAATAAATAAACACACTCATGTATAAATAAGTCCTGACAGACGCCCAAAGCGTTCCACATTAAATCTAATTTAAAATCACATTTATAAATCAGTAAATATTAAGTCTTATTTTTGTTGCGTCACGTTTTATTTTTAACAATTTTTGTGTCATTTCTGGATTTTTCTTTTTTTAATTTGGTCTTTTTTATATTTTATTTACAGAATAAAACACGTAGAAGAAACTCAATTATACACATTTAAATGATGAAATAAGATTTTATGATCAGTTTTAATCATTTTTTAAAAATCAAATTCATACAAAAATATTATCAAGTTCATTTATTTAATGTCGGTTTTTATGTTCGACTTATTTTAAAACTGTAAAATGAAAAAATACTTTTTAGAAACTCCTACAAAACAATAGTTTATAATTAGCTTTACTAATGAACTCTCGTGGTTCCTGTTCAGTCGTTTTTCTCTTGTCGAGCCGTTCGAGGCTCTTTTCTTCCTGTTTGTTGGTTTTTCTTCACAGAACTGAATCATCTCACGAGAAGCTTTTCAACTTTCTGAGAAGAACAAAGTGAACGTTTCAGAAAAAACCCGTCGATCTCATGATTCACATGAAATAACGACGGCTTTCTCTCCACGACTTTATTCTCCAGGATTTCTAGAAAGTTCATAAAAATAAAAGCACAGAAACAAACTGCTTCCTGTCGTCGACCTACAAATTAAGACAAACTCCAGAGTGTTGAGTCCAGGTCCTCGTTTATAGAAAACTTTACCAAAGGAAGTATTTACAGAGTCAGAGGCATCGAGAGGAACCAACAATCAATCAAGTGCAAACAACAGAGCAGAGGCCACCAGAACCGGACCAGAACCCCGAACCGGATCCTGGTGAAACAACCAAAGTCCTCCGAGCGGAACCAGAACGTCCGCGTCTCACAGGATCCGGTTTCAAACGGCCAGCAGGTGGCGCCGCAGAGACACCGGCAGAAATACAGACGAACCAGGAAGCAAACGAGAAGAAAAACAACAAAATGTTTTTGAAAAACGGAGAAACGACGCGTTTCGTTTGTTTACTTGTTGTTTTAGTGACGAGAAATAAAACGACGTCTGTGTTTGTTTTCTCAAGAACAAATCAAATCATGACGTCATTCTGGCGTCTCTCGGCTTCCAAACTAAATAAATAACTAAACGAAATTTGGTCGTCTTCGTATTTCTGGGTGAACTCTGCAGCTTCCTGCTCCTCGTTCAGAACAACCCACAGAACCAACGTCCCGTTAAATAAAACAGCTCATATATTAATATTATGTCCAGACAGACAAACTGTCAGCCAGACGAATCCATTTCTCTCTTTTTTTTTTCCTTTTTTTTTTAAATACAAAAAACAGAAAAAGCAAAATAATATATTATTTTCTCTTTTCCTTCAGACGACAAACCACCTTCTATTCCGATGACCGTGAAACAGAAAAACTATTAAAACATCTTCTTACGTTTTGGGAGGTTTGGGTTTTTTGTCTCCACGTCGAGCTGCAGGAACATTTTAGCATCAACGGATCGAAAACACGAAACTTTAGAACCTATAAAACAGCAGCTAACGTAGGCTTTCCTAGGCTAACACAGAGACTAACGTTAGCTTGTCTAGGCTAACACAGAGTTAGCTTGTTTGTGAACTGTGGGAGCCACATCTGTTGGAGAAATGCTTCCAACACAATGTTCATAACAATGTTAGCTAGTTTAGTATAAAGTCAGCATGCTTAAGCTAATAATAGCCGGTTTAGGATAGCATAGCAGCTAACATTAGCTGGTTCAGGATAATGTAGCAGCTAACATTAACGGGTTTAAACCAATGTTAGCATATTTAGGCTAACAAATGTAGTTTTGGTTAGCCCACTGCCACAGCTAATGTTAGCTTATTTATCAACTGAGATAGCTGCATCTACCCACAGCATTAGCTTTGTATAAGGCCAACATTAGCTTTATTAGGCTAAACTTAGCTTATTTAGGAGGGCAAACCGGCTAACACTAGCTCATTTAGGATGCATTTAGCTGGTTTAGTTCAGTCGTTTGGGAATCAGATCTGTTGTTCAGAGTTTCTGGTTCTGTGGCGTCTCCACGCAGCAACAGAACAAACTAAATTCATAGAGAACATGTTCATAGTTCTACAGACAGTAAACAACACAAACCGAAGATAAGCGCAAAGACCAGCTTCCTGTGTTAGCGCCACTCGCTAGCTGAACCGACTCTCTTTGGATTTGCAGACGTCTTTTTGGACTTTGGGAAAAACCGATAAACATTTTTCACCATTTTTTGACGGTTTAGAGACCAAACAATGAAACAATGAGTCCAGAAGACGACGGCTCGCTGCAGCTCGAACAGACACGAAGAAGACAAAAAACGTTCCTCCCAAAGCGACCGACACCAAGAAGCAGCTCGACATGCGAGACACGACTTCCTCCGTCATGTCGACCCGACGCCGACGGAAACATTCAGGACGCAGGACGTTCCTTCGACAGAACTTTCCTTCGACGAGACGCTCTGTCGACGGAACAGCCCTACGAAGGGACGTTCCTTCAACAGGATGCTCCTTCGGCAGAATGTCCCTACGAAGGGACATTCCTTTGACAGAACTTTCCTTCGACAGGACGCCTGCAGCGAAGCAGTTTTTGGTGACAACAGAAAGATGAGAGTAAAGTTTGGGCTCATTCGTCTCAAGGTGCTCCGACACCCAACAATCGTATGGCTTCTGTACAGATGAGAGGAAAAAGGCACCGAACACAAACAGTCCGACTGCAGAGTCACATCTTACACCAGCGAGAGGACACCAGAACCACGGCCGACCCGTTTTCACTGTGCAGCTGAACGAAGCCCGATTAGCTACGGCTGTAACAGTCGGTGTGTTTGAGCGGATTCACTGCAGATATTTTAACCGTTTGTTGTTTTTTTTCTCTGCTGAAGCGAAAACGTACTTAAAAACGGCGACACCAGCGTTTGGACGCGATGAACGTTCGTCTCCGGCTGAATTCATGAGACGTTTTTCTAGAAATAAGACAAACAGTTTTTCTCCAGTGGATAAATGAAATAAATCAGATATGTGACATTTATATATATATGAACAAAATGTGTATTTACATGTTGTAATGAATCAACAGATTACGACTTTAATAATGAGGTCATTTATATAAACTCATCTTGTAAACGTTTATCGTGCCACGTTTTAATTTGTCACTTTAAATGTATTAAAGCTACTTTTTGAGATATTCCTAAATCGTTAAGTTTATGGTTTGCAGAATGTGTCATAGACTGTATGAAAGATGGACGTAGCTGCCGTGACGTCACCCGTTGGTTTCTGCACTGAGAACATGAAGCCAGGGTTTTGCTACTTCCTGGTTGACATCTTGGATTTTTGGAGCCAGTGACGCAAAAATCGTGGGAGGGGGGCGGAGCCATAGGAGCAGCGATTGGTCAGACGGATTGAGAGGCGGGCCCTCTCTGCCCCGCCCACATTTACCGCCTTCTGCTCGCTTCGTCTGTTTGGTCGCTGCCGACTATCAATCAAGCCAGCCACGCCCCTTTGCCCCGCAACATGTTTGGCTTCATTTTTCAGGGCCGGTTGCTACGTCCATCTTTTATACAGTCTATGGAATGTGTAAAATGTTTTGGTTTCACACAAACACGTCCTGATTTAGTGAATTTAGATCTCACAACGTCCCTCTTTGTGTGATTTATAAATCATAATGTCGTTTTATTTGCCCGTTGGTTTTCAACATTTAGTTTAGGCACTTTTACTCTATGCCGTCCGTTGTCGTGGAAACAACTTCTTAACTCGTTAACTTAAATCGTTTGTATATTTAGTTTACAATGTAAGTGTTGAATTTCCCTTCTGGAATAAATAAAGTATTTTTCATTTCAAAGTATTTTTCATTTCATTTTCATTTCATTTCATTTCATTGAATGTTGGCCCCTCTGGGCCTCCGTAGAGCTGCACAGTGAAAACAGGCACCAGGTCCAGATCCTCGTCCAGCAGGAACAACCGTGATCAGTAATCAATAAGTGGTCTATAGTGAGCGTAAGGCGCTTCTCTGGAGTTAGTAGAGTTTTAAGGCAGAGAGGGAACAGACGGACGGCGTCAGAGTTCCTGCAGCTCCTTCATCATCATCATCCTCATCATCATCATCATCACCGTCGTCCTGCTGCTGCCGTTGTGCTTTGAGCCGTTAGTCTGCAGGAGGCGCAGCTCTGAGGAGGAAACCAGGAGACGGTTAGTGTCGCACAGAGGAGGAGGAGGAGGGTCGGCAGCAGGAGGCGACTCAACGTCTCTGATCATCAGGAGGAAGGAGGAGCTGAAGGAGGAAGGGGGAGGAGGAGGAAGAGGAAGAAGAGGAGGAGGGGGAGGAGGAGAAGGAAGGTGGTGATGAGGAGGAAGAAGAGGAGTGAGGAGCAGGAGGAGGATGAAGGTGATGATGATGAGGAGCAGGAGGAGGAAGAAGAGGAGGAGGAGAAGGAAGGTGGTGATGTGGGGGGGGGGAGGAGGAGCAGGGCTGCAGCGGTCCCAGTCAGAGGAACATCAGGACCTGATCAATGATCAATGATCACTTATAGATTTAATCGGCTCTGAAAAATCAACAATCTTTCGTGTGTTTGTGGTGATTTGACTGAAGCCAGAAGCTGCTGGTGGGTCTGAAGGTCTCCACCTGGACCACATGCTCACGCTGCTGCTACTGCTACGGTTTAAATAAAGTGAAGATCAATCAGTCAGACTTCTGCTGAAGATCAATAATCAGAAGTGAACAGCAAGTTTCAGGCTGAAGGAATGATTGGCGACGCAGACACTCAGGAGGATGATGATGATGAGGACGAGGAGGATGAAGAGGAGGGGGAGGTTAAGAACAGGAGGAGGATCTGAGGAGCTCAGGGGCGGGGCTTAGCGGAGAGCAGGGGAGGAGCAGCAGCAGAGGAAGCTCTGTGATTGGCAGCTGGACGCCCAGGTGGACTCTGACCCCGCCCACAGAGAGAGCTTCACTTGACCAGCACTGACTTTGGCAGGAAGGCCTCCATGTCGGCGCCGCCGTCCGCCTGCGGGGACGCCGAGGACGCCGAGGCCGAGGAGGAGGAGCTCGGGGAGCCGCTGGCTTTGGGCAGGCTGTACATGTAGACGGCGCCGATGACGAGCCCCGCCCCCGCCGTGAACAGCGGGTCCACGTGGAAGCCGAACAGGTAGACGGACATGGCGGTGGACACCACGATGGAGAAGGAGGTGGCGAAGCCCTTCAGGATGTTGTCGGCGTACTTGACCACCACGGCGACCAGCAGCCCGCCGAACGCCTGGTTGAAGATGACGCACCACACCATGTCGGTGTAGCCGAACAGGAAGCCGCGCTGGGCCATGGCGGCGCCGTCGTTCCACCACAGGCCCAGCATGCCCAGCGCCGTGCCGAAGATGCCCAGCTGCACGTTGCGCACCCACACGGAGGCGGAGCTTCCCTTCAGGATCTTCTCGAAGTAGACGCCGGCGAAGCCCGACGACAGGCAGCTGATCACCACGGCAACCAGCCCCACGGTGTAGTTCTGGTTGGAGCCGCCCGACACCGACGCCTCCTTGTTGCCCTCCTGCTGCACCTGCAGGGAGACGACCAATCAGAGCCTCCGCTTACAGGAACCAGAACCAACGGGTATGACGTCATAGAGGAGGAAGTGACATCAGACAGACACATGACATTCAGGAGGAAGAACACATCTGGGTTCTGCTAGAACCTGACACCAGATCAGTTCTACATCCATCCAGGTGTCTCAGTCTGAACACTGGACCTGGTTCTGCTCAGCACCAGTATTATGGGATGTATCGTAGATGACTCACCTGCACGATGGCGACGCCGGCGAACAGCAGCAGCAGAGAGACCCACTGGACCCTGGACAGGGACTTCCTGAGCATCAGCACGCTGAACAGAGCCGTGGTCAGGATCTTCAGCTGGTAGGTCACCTGGCAGGAAGGGGAGGAGTCAGGAACCCAGCTGGTGGCAGCGTGGAGGCTTTCCACAGAGTCACACCTACTCATCAGGTGTGAACACATCGATCAGCTCTGATCGCTGGTCAGTAAGTAAAGCTGCTGAGAACGACAGAACCGCTGCAGGTCGTAAAGAACGCTGACGAGTCCATCAGAGTTCAGCTAATTAACGACGTGACCACATTTATAAGGAAGAAAAAACTGTTTATGTCAGAAAAATACAAAAAAATCTATCAACTGTCTGGAAGATATGTTTTCAAAATGTGAAAAATATTCTTCAAATGTTTCGTTTGGCCAAAAATCCAAAAATAAAAACCAACAAATGTTCAGGTTCTAATTTTGAGCCAAACAAAAGCAGCAGATCTTCTGCAACGCTTCATGGGTTCTGCTGGGAGACTGACCCATGAGCCTGTTGTCAGAGAAGCTCCAGGATGGTGTCACAGGAGACGGACGTCCACCGACCAACCAGGAGTTCCTCCTTCAGACCATCAACCAGCTCGTCTACAGACAGGTCCTGTTGGCTTCGTTTAGAGAAGAGGCAGGACCAGTGGAGGCTGCGTCACCATGACAACCTGCTCACAGCGCCCTGAGCATCCCACAGCTCCTGGCTGAGGAGAACATCTCCTCCCTACTCACCCCACCTGGCTCCGTGGGGTTGGTTCCTCTCCCCCAAGCTCAAGGGCTCATCAAGGAGACCCGTTTAGAAGACGTGGACGTCAAGTGCATGGCGGCGTGAAGAGAAGGCTGGAGGAGGTGTTAGCCTCCAGGAGGATGACTGGGAACGAGAGACTGGTAGTTTGGGTTTGGACTCTATCTTCTGTGACACCAGTCCTGGAGCTTTCCTGACCTACCTGGTCTCTGGTGTGAAAGGCTCACTACCAGGCTGTGGATCTCGGTACCGTTACCGGACACGGGCCTGACGTCGCGGCGGTCCCTACCTGGAAGGTGGCCGCCGGCAGGTTGGAGATGGCCACGTACTGCAGGTTGTTCTGCAGCGTGTAGATCAGAGACGGAACCGCCAGCTTCAGCGTGTCTTTGTACTGGAACACGATGGAGTCGACCAGGAAGTAGACCGTCTCCTTCACGTTGACTACAGAGAACAGAACCAGAACCAGATTTATTACCAGGTATAGTTCACACAACACGAGGAGTTGGTTCTGGTGGGTCGGTGCAACAAAAAACACAGAGTAAGGCCCAATGTACAAGATGAACATGTAAAAACAGCTAAATAAGGAACTAAAGAGCAGAACTCACATCATTTTAAAGTTGGATCCAAACTTTTGACGTCTGATCTGATTCATTTATTTTATAGTTTTACATCTTTAAATTTAACTTAAATAGAAACAAAAAGATATTTTGACTTTGTCGTCATTTTAACATTTAATCCCAAAGTCCTGACCCCTTCTCTTAACATTTTACTCTTTCATTCAACAGCTTCTGATTGGCCCAGCGTGGAGGTCACATGACCCAAACTCACATCTCCTCTGCAGCAGGATGATGAGCAGACAGGTCAGCACCTTCAGGACCTCCGCCATGACCACGGCCGACGTGGTGAAGAAGCGGTCGCCGGGCAACGTGCGCACGTACCGGATGCTGAGGATGAGCGACGCGTTCTGGACCACCAGAACCGCCAGACTGATGTACTTCAGCCTCCTGTTGGCTGCAGAGGAACGGCAGGGACACGTCACAGACCCACACTGACCAGTACCTGACCAGTACCTGATCAATAAACTTTAACCTTCATACATTTACACCTGAGCTGGTGCTGAAGCTCATTTAGGTCTGACTCTGTCCCAGAATGCAGGAAATCACTTTAACTTTTGGCCAAAACACAAAACACATTCCCTCAGCTGAGAGTCTGGATCGCTCAGAAACACCAGTCAGGAAACCACCTGGTTAAAGGGAGACGCTCTGTCAGCAGATTTACATCTGAAACTCTGAACAAAACCTGGACCAGGCCAGCTCCACAGCATCAGTCACCATGGAGACCTAGCTCCACAGCATCAGTTACCATGGAGACCTAGCTCCACAGCATCAGTTACCATGGAGACATAGCTCCACAGCATCAGTCACCATGGAGACCTAGCTCCACAGCATCAGTTACCATGGAGACCTAGCTCCACAGCATCAGT